GATAAAATCTGAAGCCTTCCCCACAGTCTCAATGATCTCAATGATCTCTGAATGATCTCAAAAAAACCCAAAATGGGACTAGAGACATGTTTGAATTTCATCTCATATCGCAGAGTGAGAAGTGCCACTTTCTTGTTCACATTAGAATTTTAGGTCCATATCTTTAGAAACTTTGTCTTTTTGCTGATAATTATCCATAGAGATTGAAATAGCACCTGCCATTAATAACTGCTCGATAAACACTGAACGCACTTTGTACTAGACATTTTGCAAGGCAATTCACATGTAATAACTCTCTTAATCTTTTCAAGAACTCAGCAGGTACACACTGTTCTTATTCTTCTTTCTGGGCATGAAAACCAAAGCATAGTCCATTTCAGTGATGTGTCTGATATAATGCAGCTGAAAAGGAAGCAAGCCAGAATTTCAACCCAACTGTGCTGGCCTTGGACATTTCCCTCTAAGGGCTGCATTCTAATTGAATCAGTCAGAGAATAACAATTCACTGAATACCTTGCACATTTAAAGTAATTCAATGTGGAATCAGGATAGAAACCTAATTCTGTTATCACTGTAAAGTAGAAGAGGCAAGAATCTACATACCAGGGTCTATCAACAGTGTCATCCAAGTTACCCTGGTACCTTAACAGTAATGTCAGTCTTGACCACAAGTGACATACTTGACTCCCTACCTCTTGTCTTGTTTTCAGTGTGTTACTATTCACCTGCTAGATGGTAGAAACAGTAACAAACCCAGGAACCAGAAGCAGCAATAACTGCTGGAAACCAAACACACGCATCATGTTATCCCTGGACTAAACACCATCTGGTACCACCCTTATTTAATCTTCCTGCACCTCTATGGAACACATATTTCTGCTGCATTTGACATAAGTGCGATTCAGGAATTTCATCTTGAAACAGACAAGGGATTTGGATTCAGGTCTTTCTGACTTCACAGATTAGTCTTTAAATGGGTTTTTAGTTCAAATTGCACCTCTGTCCTTTAACAGTAGAGTGATTTTGATTAAGTCCCTTGGTGGTGCTCTGGCTTAAATCCAGTTATCTATCGACACAGTAATAACAACAATATTATATTTTATTATCCACTGTAGCAGCCTTTATCAAAGTTTATATAAGAAAATAATGTATAGTCACTGATTGTATTAGTCATTTTTAAAGTGTATGGTATCTCACATAGTATTCTATAACATAAAACCAATGCATATTAAAAGCTCAAAATTTTAAATCTGCAAATAAAGTGGATTTCTTCCTTAATTCTCTTATTGCAAAATTGTGGGTAAATGTACTATAGCCGGACTCTGACCATTGTCACAGGCCTTGCTTATTTTAGTCAACTTGGGATGTTATAATCAAATACTACAGACAGGGTAGCTTTAACTATGGAAAACTGCTGCTGATAGTTCCAGAACCTTAAAATCCAAGGTCTGCATATTGATAGATTTGGTTCTTGGAGAGAACTCTCCTCCTGGCTTGCAGATGGCTGCCCTCTTGCTGTCTTTTTCTGGCAATGGCAGAAATAGGAGGCTGTGTGTGTTTTCTTCTTTTCATTAAGACACTAATCCCAGCACAGGCCCCATCCTCATTTAAACCTATTTTCCTCTAGAAGTCCCACTCCCCAATATCATCACTATATGGAGCTGGAGCTTCTGCATATAAGTTTGAGGGGCACATGTACCACTTTTATCAGTGCTCTGAGCACAGGCCCAGTTGGATGATCCCACACTTGAAGACACTTAGATATTGTAAAGCACTACGTAGAGACAAAGGATTATCTTTAGCCTGGTATTTAGTATCACTCTACACATATTTAACTGGGCTTCACAATAGCTCATCTTGGATCAAAAACTCTCCACTATTGCATTCTCCTAGCTCTGTGCAAAATCACGGCTCACACTTTCCCCACCCAGGTAAACTTTCCCTGATTCACAAAGGCTGAATTAAGCATTTCTCCTCCATATTCCTGTCGTAGTCTGCTATTATCCTGCCATTCTAAGACATTGGACATATAAAGTATAGAAGGAAAGAATGTCCTTTACTAACTCACTCTCAGGCTGACTGAAGAATAGTATTCGGGAACTCAAAAAAGAAGGAAATTTCAGGTCAAATCCCCATTGCCCCTCTCTATCCAGGTGGCAGCAGCTATGGAACTCTGCAAGCACTGTTTGTTTAACAGACCAACTACCTGGAATTCATGTGGAAATCAATGACAGACAAATACTCCTTAGCATACCTTAATGGGATGAATCTCACTAAAAAGGTAAATGATCAAAGAGGTCATTTCATTTCCAGGTAGAAGAGTGTGCTAAGATAGAACACAACCAGCAAAACTCCCAATGTGCTGATACTAAGTGGGAGCTATATTGTTTTCAAATGTACAAAAATCAAGAGAAAAAAGTTGTTAATGAAGTCCTGCCAATAACCCCATCCTATGCTGAGTCCTTGCCCGAGGTTGAATGTAAAATCCTAGTGAGGAAAAGACAGAAAGGCATGTTTATGTAAGGAAGCACTTTTCCCCAGGAGCTTTCTGAACACAGTGTAGGAAGGAGGAAAGGAGCAGGAAGGAAAAAGCAGCAGTATGCAGGAATCAAATAATAGAGGCTTCCGGGCCTCTACCTATCGATTTGGCCATCGCAGAAAATGTGAAGGCCTGCAGATTCTCAGGGTTTAAAGGGAGAGGGAGCACAGGAAGCAGAAAAAAATAGGATGAGGCATTTTAGGTTATAAAATATGCATTCTGAGTACTTATGCTATTATATCACAGATGTGTAATTTTAAAAATCAAAGGTTTGAGAAAAATAAAAGCCCCTTTTTCTTCATGTCTCACATTCGAAATCCAGTGTTATCACTCGATACTCTTTACTGGTTTCCCCCCAAATATTTACCACATTAGACATCTTGAGAACAAGCAACAAATCTAATAGGAGATATAGAGAGCTAGAGCATAGATATAGAAGACATAGATATATAGATGTTTATAATGGGAATTGGCTCATATGATTATAGGGGTAAACCCACAAAATGTTATCTAGGGGTGAGAGAGGGCTGCTCCCTGTGTGTATTCCGGACCCCGGAGGTCTGAGATCTAGCATCTCCGCTATCCAAGAGCTGGAGAAGGTGGCTGTCCCAGATCAAAGAGAGGAAAGAATGAATCCTTCCTTCACCTTTGTGTTCTGTTTGGACCCTGGATGCAATAAGTGCTGCCACCCACACTGACTACAGATTCAGACACTAATCCTTTTCAGAAACACCACACAGACCCACTCAGAAATAATATTTTATCTGTGGAGCGTCACTTAGTAAAGTTAAAAAATAAAACACCATTGTACCACCTGATTTAAAAATCTTATAATCTGTTCACTGATTCTTAATTTGGCAGTTATAAGACATGGTCTGAAATGCTTCCAGGTAAAAGATTCAGGTCTTGTTTGCTCTTTGTTTTCTGAATTATTCAGTGCTCATTCTAAAGTTCTGTCAGAACTTGAAAATACACTCAGCCATTGTGACCCTGACAAATTCACGTTTGAATTTTAATTCTCAAAGAAATCTGTCAAGAGTATTTGGAAGTAGAACCTTTCAAGCATGGTCAGGATTATCCTTATCAGAATGATAAAACCCTGTAAGACTTCCATTATGACATCAGTGACTTTGTAAGAAAAAGAAAGGAGAGGTAACCTATCACATTGCTCCCTCGCCATTTGGTGCCTTCTATCATGTCATGGTAGAGCAGGAAAACTCTCAGGAGAGACCAGTCTTCTGCACCTGGACTTCATAGTATCTAGAACTCTGAGATAAATAAGCCTCTTTTCTTCATAAATTTCTCAGGCTTGGATATTTTGTTATAGAAACAGAAAATAGAATAAGACACATTGTAATTGATAGAACTGTGGAGGGGAGGAAGAAGAGGAGTACTGGCGGAGGATCAGCGGCGGCTGAAAAGATAAGAAGTATAAAACATAAGTAACCTTTATTTTGGGAATGCGGGGAGAGACACCCCTGACCCCCTGGAGCACGGCATCTCCACCCCGGGGCGGCGATCTCTCCGTGGAACACGAGGAGTGAGGCACATAAGTAGCCTCGGCCTGGGGTGGAACCTAAGGGGACATTAGGGATGCACAGGTAGCCCATTGGTCTTAGTTTGGCGCCAGAGGCAATTCCTAAGGGTGGGGGGAGATAGGAGCTCCTTGGCTTTATCGGCTACAGTATCCGGCCTGGGCCAAAACCCTTTCAGTAATAAGTTATAAGACATCACATAATTTAAGTACTTTTTGCCTTGGGGACATCTCCCTTTGAGCTTGTCATCTGCCTCTAAGTGAAGTAGATACTCCTTGGCCAACTGCATAGCAGGCATAGTGGATTTCTCTTCTTTCCATCTCTCTCTACACTAAGGGCCCCTCCATTCTGGATCTTATACTCTACCATTTATTTTCTTATCTCCCTGTATGCACTGAATGAGAGGTTGTGTCCAGAATCTTTTAGAATTCTCTCTTTAGTGCTAGTGTTTTCTATTTCTTGATGATAAGCCTTGGTGTCTTTTGTCTTTATTTCATTAGGGATGGTGCAGGCCTTTTTAATCTAGAACTCAAATCAAAAGAAAGCATTTGTTTTTGAGTGTTGATTGAAAAACATTTTTAAGAATCTAGGTTCAAATTGCTTTTTTGCAACCTAGTCCTGAAATTGATATTCTATCTACTGATTCTATTCATTTGTAAGACACAGATCAGTAAATCCAGTCTATGCTCGAGAGAAGGGGATCACACAAGCACATGAGTGTGAGGAGGGATTCAGTGGGATCACTTATGACTGTGCACCAACCTACAAATAGCCAAGTGGACTTCCCTTCATTTGCCTCAGATAAAAGCAAACTTGTTATATCACAGCAATATCAGGCCTCATATCTGATACAGAGAATTTTCTTAAGAGCGTCCTATATTAAGGGAGAATTGTATTGTGGAAATTAATTGATTTTCTTTTCTATAGAAAAAGTCTACAGTACTTCTTTTGCCAGCAAATGAAGAGTCCATACATGCATACACAAAAAGGTAAAAATTCATTGGTTTGCATTGCTATTGTAAAAACTTTTTGTGCCAGAATAACAATAACAATTACTCTACCCGACTAAGGGCATTAAGGTAAAAAGAAAAACTACTGACAAGAAATTTAAGATAAAATTTGGTGTAATTAATCATTCATTTATTTTGCATAAAATATTCATTTGTCTTCATATTAAGATATGTAAGGATAAAAGAGCACCTCCTCAAAATTACGTAAAGCAATGAATCAAAACTACCTTTTGGTTTATTAACAGAGACAGTTTAAAAATGATTATCACTTATTTCATTTCTCAAAGAAAAGTCACCAAACCAGAGAGTTAGAACTAGAGTTTTGGGCTGGGGATTTAGCTCAGTGGCCCAGTGCCTGCTGGGAAAGTGTGAGATCCTGAATTGGATTTCTGGTACCCACTCAAAAAAGAACTGGAATATTGAAGGTTATTTCCATGACTCTATCACTTCCAGCAAAGAGAAAAATCAGATAAATCATTCTGTACTTGACACAATCTAGGTGGTTATAATTGAGTTTGTCTCACTTTTTATATCAAATTATTGCAACTACAACATAGCTAACTTTCTTTCCTATGTTGTCAGTGTAGACTAATCATTAAACAGTTCCCTGCTCTGAGTACAACTTATTTTGAGGCTCTGGATTCAAATGAATAATTGAAGAGGTATTCTCACCATCAGCTCTCTGTATGTGTCTCCTAGCTTCACTGTCTCACAAAATATATTGTAAGCTGGCATTGGTTGTTAGGTGCAATATATGAATTATTTGGAGCCCAGTCAAAGGTGAACAAAAATGGTATTTTCTTTATGGAAGTTAAAAATTGATTGGGCATCATGTCACACACACTTTCTCAGTCCCAAGACCACAGTTCTCATGATCAAATCCTACTTGAACTCAAACCTGAAATAATTGACCGGGTCAAGAAAAAGCTGTATGACACAAAGATACTGGTCATTCTATTAAAGTAAATTTTCCTTGTGTTTTGATGGGATAACTTATTATATATTGCTATATTTTCAAACCAGTACTTAAAGACTGTATTATTAAAAAATACATATTAGGGCAGGAAGGAATGAAGGAAGGAGGAAAGAAAGAAATTTACTTATTCATTTACTTTTTATTTTAAACAGATTAAGACAAAACAGGACATAACAAAGAAGATCAGATCAGAACAATACAAGTAACACAGCATTTTACCACAAGAAAACCCATAATTAACACTAACTACCATAGTGTCTCTTTCTTTGAAATAGTTGAGCATAGCTTCATATACGATAGTATCAAGCATAACAAAACAGTATAAAACCAGTCAAGAGAATGAAAGCATTACAGGGCTTTCAGAACCCAATAGCAGAGAACGAACAATGGCTACTATATTATCTCATTTTCCATAGAAAATTTGTTTATACTATTACACATAATAATATCCAATAAGATATAACAGGATAGAACCAAAGTCACAAAAAAACAAAAGCATAGTAGGACTTCACAGTAAGATGATACTAAATCAGCTTTGGCTTTTCTAATATCTTCTTTTCTTTAAAATAGCTATTTATACTATCACAGATAATAAAATCAAACAAACTAGGATAAAACCATTCCAACTAATGAATGCAGACATTATAAGGCTTCAGAGCAATGTAATGGGGAATCATGATTACTATTAACTCTTATGTACTCTTACCATTTCTTTTTTTTTTAATTTTATTTAAAGAGAAAAAAAGCAAAACAGTAAAAGGGTACAAGTAATACAGAATTTCAAAAAGAATAAACAGTAAGAAATAACTAGTTAATAGATTACATATGGTCATCTTAGAAATAGTTGTTCAGGTTACAAAAGTAAAGTATACGAAGTGGACATTCAAACAGTGAGTTTGCAATGAACTCTTCTGCTTATGATCCAACAAAAACTTAGTAATATGGCTATCTGTCTTACACATTTAAATATACTTGCAGTTATATCCTTGAGAGCACTTTCTTTTCCTCTTTTTTTTTTACAATAACAATTACACATTTTGGGTTTTATTACCTCCACAGTTATTATTTTTTTGAAGAAAATAAAATCAAATGTGACAAAACAAAACAGAGTCAGTCAAAACAAAAGGATGGACATAGTATATGATATAAAAACAGAATTACAAGGTGATCAACAATGGTTACAATAATGCCTCTTGCTGTCTTAAAAAGAATTGCCTATATCATCAGTTATAATAAAATTGAACAAAACAGTACAGAACAAAACCAATAAAACTGAAATGTTGGAGACCTTACAGGACTTCAGAAGAAGATAATAGTGAAACCAGAATGGGCATCAAAACAAGATGATATTAAATCAGCACTAGCTATTATGATGTCTTGTTTTCTTCAAAACAGCTGTTCACACCATCACAGACAATAAAATTAAACAACCCAGAATAAAACCATTACAATTAATGAACGAAAACATTATAAGGCTTCAAAGCAATATAATGGGGAATCATGATTACCACATACTTTTATGTATTCTTATCATTTCTTACACTAGGGAAATTATTCGGTATTTATACGTATGAGTTTGATTTATTTCACTTATGAATTAATCTTATGTTGTTTTTGTTTGCATCATCTTGCAGCTGTTGAATTATTTCCTGATTCCTTGTTTTTTTAAAAGATCTTTCCTTTCCTGTTCGCTAGCTGCTATCTTGTCTTTGAGGTCTAAAATTCCATCTTCACTTTTTTGAGTCAGTTTTGACAACTTTCGATGGAATTTTTGATTTCCTGTATATCTGTTTGAATCTGCTTCATGCATTGCGTTTGTCTCTGAAATTGTTCATACAGGGATTCTATCTTTTTGTTTTGTTCCTCTAATTTTTTAACTGTGTCTTCTTTAAATATGTGCAGGATCTCTTTCATTATTTTTATCATTCTTCTTTTACCTGGGAGATTAGTTTTAGTTTGAATACCTTTAAAGCTTCCTGGAGTTGCTTCTTTATTTCAGTTGCTATTATTACAGGTATTTCAGGTGTATGGCATATGTTTTCTTCTATGTACATGGCTCTTGGGCTTTCTTGGAATGGGCTGGAGGTTTGAGATTGCATTTTGGTCTTTTGTTTTGTCATTTTCCTATATTTCTGTGTTTCAAGTGTTTTTCTAAGGCTTCCCCTGGATGTGTTGGAAATCGTCTCCTATGCCCTAGGCTCCTGGGACTGAATTGAGGTTGCTGAGCATGGTCCAGTCAGGCCCTCATGCCCTCCTTCAGTGTTCCAGGTAGCTGGGCTGGCACCTACCCACTGTGGATGATGGGCTAAAGCTCTCCCCGGGCAAAGACCACTGCTCTTGAACTCACTTCACCTGCTTTCAACTCCCATAATTGAAGGTGGCTGAGCACAATCTACTCGGGCTGCAAAACCTCCCAGGGCTAGTCTAGTGTGGCTGGGACCTGGGTGGGTCCTTGAGCTCTGGGAACGATGATCTTAATAAGTCCTTTGGGGCTCAGGATGGCACGTGGACTCACCCCAGTGGCCAGCTGAGTTTCCTGGTACCGGAGAAGGTCACTGGGCTTGTCTTGGGCAGTCCTGAAACCTGCTGGACAAGTGCAGCCTAGTGTGGCTGGGCTCTGGGCAGGTCCTTGAGCTCTGGGAGTGATGAAAATTTATTTTCTTGAAAGAATAATGTCTGTATTTTCAAGCTTCTAGTATGTTTCTACTACCACACTAGGCACAATGGGAAAGGGTCACAGAAATTACAACACAAAAATTCACTATTGAAACATAACTTAAAGAAGACAATAATACAAAACTGTAAGTGATTGAACTATATTTTCAGGGATATATATTTCTAGACTTAAACCTGAGAAGCACAATTCATGTCCTTTTCAGTAGGTCATCAGTGCCTAATACAGTATCAGGAGCTTAAACGATGTTTATAAGATGGCAAATGGACTAATAAAATAATCAGCAAATTAATAAATAAATTTATAAATGAGCCAAATGCACAGAGTGCAGTGGCAGTTAAACCATGGGAAATAGTCCTGCAGACTAGTACGACTAAAGTATTTTTGTAAGATATGGGATTTACCCAAATCTTGGAAAATTAGGAATATTTTAGGAGGACAGAAAGAAGGTAAAAATATTAGCAGAGTTTTACTGACAAAATGCTCTTCCCCAGATTGCCCAAAGAGTCATAAAGTCCTAGTCTTTTTTTTTTTTTAAACTACTTTATGAGTTTGTCCCTTTTTGACAGTCACACAGAGCAGGTGTTATATAATGGTTAAGAGCAAGGAATCAGGAATCCGCTTGCCTGGACATGGTTGAAATCCTGTTTTGTGAATGTCAACAATTTATTTGTTTTTCTACCTCAATTTTGTCATTTAGTACTAAGAACAGCAACACAAGATACTACGAGCTGTTGTAGATATTAAAAGGAAAAGTATACAAAAGGTCATAATAGTACTTAGCACAACAAGACTATGAAATATGTATCAGCAGCATATTTTTATATCTTCTTCAATTCTGCAGGATTCAGAATGGAAAGAGGAAGTGAAAGACCTGAACCTCCTGCATCAAGGTGTGTCCAGATGAGCACTTCTTACCTGAAATATAAGAAGAGACGTGTCCCCTTCAGGACAGGGTTTGAAAAAACAAGTAAGTCTCCTCTGGATTCCTTTGTGTTTTTTTCTTTTCCCAACCAACTGGGCTTAGTTATATGAGAAATAAACTTTGTAATTATTTTAAAATGCTCATATTCAGTAAGACCTACAATAACTTAACCCTGATAAGAACTGGTGAAAATACATCCTGCCATTAAAATTTAAAAACTTTTCTGAGTTTTCTGGGACAACTATTTGAACCAATAGAATAAAGCTAAATAAGCCAAAAGAGTAAAGTTTATCTTTTGCCTTTGCTCTTTCTTAGATGAGACATTTAAGCTAGTTGAACAACCAAGTTAAGCTGGGTGTCCATAATCTAGAAAAACATAATCAATGACTATCTGGTCAAAACAGCAAGAATCAAGGTACTTTTTTTATAAGGAGGCTTGTTTTGAAAAGAGTCTCTAAAACTTAATTTGCCCTGACTGAATACCTAAGTTTAAATCATACTCCACAAAGCCTATCACACTGCCAAGCAGAAAAATCTCAGTAAGTAAGATCTTAGAAAATCCTTGTGAAATAATACGCTCACATTGCCATCATAACATACAACAGACAAGCTAACGTAAACAGCAGAAATATTTCTCAAATTCTGAAGGCTGGAAGTACAAGGTTGAGGTGTCACTAGGGTTTGCTCCCTACCCCTCTGTCTTTGGCACGTAGATATTCATCTTTTCCCTGTGTCTTTACCTGGTCTTCCCTATGCACATATCTGTGTACTAAACTCCTATATATGAACACAGTCAATTAGAACTCACCTTACTGACTTCCTTTTAATATACTTACCACCTGCTTAAAGACTCTCCAACTGTAGCCACTTATGTGGTACTAGAGAATAGGACATCAACATATAAATGGGGGGCCACAGTTTCAGTACATAATACCAGGTGACCTCAAATGACTCAATTCAAAAAAATTAAATAACTGCTTCTATCAATAATATCATTCTTTCCCAAAGTGTTGGAATATCTTTCAATATGTTTCAGAGTGTGATGCACCTTATCACTGTCCTTCAATTACAACAGGATGGAGCCACCACTATCTCTCAGTAGTGCCAATATCTAGATTCATTTTCTAGCTAACATACCCATGAAAAGTGCTTCATAATCCTCATTTGGAAACTGAATACAGCTTAAAACCTCCAAAGAGTGAAGTTTGTCTACCAGGGAAGACCTTTGCACAAACATTCTTGATACTCTTTTGAGATATTTTACTTGGTAACATTAATTTTTTCCACTTTAATTATTGTATGTGTCATTTCTTTGTTTTATCCTAAAATCTCAGACAACAAGCAGTTTTAGGAACACTGTTCATTGCTTTCCAAGTGGGCTCTTTCATCTGAGTAAAGTTTGAAAATAAAATCTCTTCAAATAGTTTTTGGTTAGGAGAGGAGGAAATACAAAGGTATCTTATGCACAGATGTTCCTCAGCTTGGAAGACCATCCTTGAAGGACTTAATTGCAATTTGAGCAGAAGTTGCATGACGTTTATGAAAAAGTAAGTTGTTCTGAAAACAGCTAAAAGAGGTAGAGCCTATTTGTCTTAGCTCAGTTGGCAGCTGTTTGGGTACTTAGAAATGAGATGAATAATTTAATTGGCAGTTCTGTAGTCACCGTTATAGACATGTGTCTGTAAACTATTGGCCAATTTGCCGTACTGGAAGACATTAGAGTCAGAAATTGAGTTTTCCAGTACTAGAGGAAGCATTCTTCATAGGCTATCATTGAAAATGATAAAATCTGATCAATTTTTCAAAAAACTTTAGGCACTCATAAATACTATAAAAGTCTTCCAAGGTTATTCATAGTATGGAAAAAAGTTAAATAATTATTTTGTTGCAAACATAAGTAGATGGAACTCAAACAAGGATGGAACATGTAGAAAACTGCCTTCATTTGTATGAGGTCTAAAGAAATAAAATCATGAATTCAACCACCAAAGAATCCTAGAAGTATTTAGCATCCATGAGACAAAATATCCTCCTATAATGAAGAGTAATGGAGAATGAATATTCGATTTGGCTCTCAGATCTTTTTAAGTCAGAGTTTCCAGCACTTATTCTTATAAAAATAAGAACAAAAATTAAATTATCAAAAATGACCTGCATATTACTAGTCCAACAAGCATTCTACCTTACTGTCTCATTAAAACCACGTAAAATGAAACTGATAGTAGCAGTTTAGATCTTTTTTAACTTTCTTCCATGAAATTTGTATAACTTTATAACAAAAATGATTCTCACTCATGAAAATATTATTTTTACTCTTCACTCTGAAATAAAATCCTAGCCAATGGTTTTCATTGTGCTATAAATTTTGTTGGAAGAAATCGATCAGTCCTTATCAAACTGGAGGTTCTGCCTGTCTGAGCTTAAAAGTTATAAATCCCTTAGTCACTAAGGACCTCTCTCTATGTTCCCCCTGTCAGAGTTACAGCACTCATTCCAGCTATCCCATTACTGTGGCAACATTATTCACTGCATTTGTGAGGGGCAGGTAGCTTGCTTGTCTAGTTTCCTAGGATTTTATATCAAGAGGATTAGTGACCAGAGGACTAACCCACGAAGCCTTATCTACACTTGTACTCAATTTGGATGATGAGATCCTTGACCAGGAGTCTTAGACTCAGGCCCAAGTGACAAGATTTTGGGAGAATTTTTGGAGAAAAACAGACACTATGTTTTGTAAGTGGAAGGATATAAAAAATTTGTAGACAGAAGACAGAACAGGGTGATTCTTTAAATATGCCAAAATATATTGATTTTCTCATTGAGAGAAGCCATGCCTGGTCTTCTTGGAGATTTATTCTAAGGAGAAGCAGCAATGATCTAAAAATCAATTATCCTGACACAACCCATGAAAGCCAACAGTAGACATTCTGGAGGACTGGCTCACCTGAGTGCCCCATCAACAGCAAGAACAATCACCAGTTAGAAGAAGCATCCTAGGACTACAGTCCTATAACCTTCTGATGTCTGGCACCTGATTTCCACTGCAATGAAAAAATACAAGCCAAAAATGGATCAGCTGAGGACTTTTCATATTCCTGACTCAACTCATGAATAAAATGAAATGATTATGGTAAGCCACTTAGACTTAAGGTAATTTTAAGCAAAGAATTAGCAACCAGTCCAGCAAATAGAAATCAACCCTGGCTTATTTAAAAAGAAAAATAAATTTACTGGATCAATAAATGTGGCTCATGGTGTCAAATAGAAATTATAGCCTCCTTGGATGTGAATTCAGAAAATACTAAACTATTTCATCTGAGTCCTTCAACTAAATGAATGATTCAAACACATTGTTTTTTTCCTGTGCTTTTTCTTCAGTCGAGCTGAGGTCTCAAGTTTCCAAGTGTCCTAAATTTTGGCTATTGTCCAAAATTGGGATGAGGAAAGCCCTCATATTTTGACTCATGACCCCAATATCTCAATTACCTATTGCCATTCTAATGCTGTATAGCAAACAGTATTAGTCCTAATACAGCAATCAGCATTGAGTATCCACGCATGTAGGGTTTGCTCAGGATCACATGCGACCTTTGCTAATTTTAGCTGGGATTTCTTACATGGAGACAGCTGAAATTTGCATGATTTCCAATGACCTTGGCTCACATATCTCTCATGTTCCATCAGGTTAGTCCAGTAATTTTTCTCATAGTTGAAGCAAAAACACAAAAGAAAGGGGAAAATTGTCCAGCTGTCTTGGGGCTGAGTCCCCAAACTGATAAACTTGCATCTTCACTCTGGGGGAAAAAACTCAAATAGAGCAGTGGGGGAAATGTACTCCGTTGCTTTCGTGAAAGTAGCTGCTAAGTCACATATCAATGAGGATGGACACGAGAGAGGGTAGAATGTTGAAGCCATCAACACAACCCTGCTGTCACCAAGGCTGCATAATGTGGGTAGAAGAAATGTATCAGTAGGAATCCAAATGGCAAAAAAAAAAAAAGGAGATTTAAATTAATACTGGGAAGCCGATTATATAACTGAAGTACAAACTTATAAAGAACATGACATGTACACAGTATTTTTAGTAAGAGGTCTAGAGTTTTGCTTCAAATACTCTTGTAAGTTTTAGGTTTAGAAAATTGCTTTTTATAATTTCTCTAACTGTAGGGACTCCATGTCAGAACGCTGCTGTCTGAAAGGTAATGACTGACCCTGCTTGCAGACAGAAAATAGCATCTGTGGGCAATGGTTTTCTCCTTACTCCCACCTTCCAGAACTTAAGGGAATGTAGCATATTGGTAAAAGCTAGTTATATTGAGAACCCTATCTTCAAAAGAGTCTAGGAAACATAGGATTCTTTTGCCTTTCTAATTTCTGCAGGAGATCAAAATACACAACCGACAATAGTCATTACACTCATTTTCCAAGGGAAGAGAGGTGAAGTGAAGCTTTATATTCTTTGGGGCAAAAGCTGTACAAATTGTGAAGGCAAAGAGAGAATGAAATTTCCAAGAGTAACTTTAGAGTTTTTGGTAGATCTCACGTGGCAACAATACCATCACCAGAACGCGTACTTAGGTCCCACCCCATTTTTCAGTGACATTAAATGTATCTAACCTATTAAAATATTCAAAATATCACTAAATATGCTGTGAAAATTAATGAGACGATGGATGTGAATGTAATTATTGCAATAATGGCAAAGCTATTGAGTTCCATGAAAAGCCAATCTGAATTTTCAGGAGCAGAAATAAGCCCTGTTTTTTGATTCTCCATGCATGGTGTAATGGTTAATTAATTTTGTCAATTAGAGACATTTAGAAGCTTAACTGAAATGGTTCAACAATTCTACATGCTACAGTGTAGAGGACCCACTCTAGGGAAACAATAGAAAGAGGAAATGAGGAAGGACAGATCTGCTTCCGTTCTGAGGAGCTCTCCTGGCATTCAGCACAGATTCATCAGCTTCTGCCTCAAACCCTTCAGCCTTCTGGCATAAACTCTTCAGCTTTCTATTGCAGACTCATTGGCCTCCTGATATGGAT